ACATTTCAGGGGTAGAGCAGCTCCTGGTGGTGATGAAGATTCAAGGTGTGGACATGGGCGTGGGCAGTTGAACTGGAGGGAGGAAACAGTCCCTGGAGATAGTTCAAAGTATCAGGAAGTGGCCCAGCCCTGGCACAAAGGCAGAGTAAGAGAGCCTGGAAACCCCTTTGCTGCCAACCTCTGCAAATGCTGGATAAACCATAACAAAAATCACTTAATATGTAGCTGAAATTTAAAAAAAAGAGAGAGATACAGCCTTGTGTGTGTGTGTGCGTGTATACAGTTGTATGAGTTTTAATGCATGCACAGACTTGGGCAGCCACCAGCACCACAAGGATACAGAACAGTTCCATTACTCCCAAATTCCCTCATGCTGCCATCCCCCAACCCTTAACTTTGGCAACCACTGATCTGTTCTCCATCCCCGTATTCTTTCTAGAGAGTCATATAAACAAAATCATTTAGTATGTAAACTTGTGAGAGGCTGGTTTCCTTCACTTTTCGTAATGCTTTTGAGAGTGATGTATGTTGTCGCGTGTATCAATAATTCATTCCCTCATGTTGCCGAACACTATTCCACTGTCCAGATAGAGATACCTGAGTTTGTTCAGCCATTCTCCCACTGAAGGATATTTGGGTTGTTTCACGTTTTTGACTACCATGAAGAACGCCCCCATAAATACTCACGCACGTTTTGGTGTGAACGTAAGTTTTCATTGCCCTGGGATAAACGACTAGGAGTGGGGTTGTTGCGCCAAATGATAAGTGTATGTTTATTAGAAACTGCCAAACCACTTTCCAGAGTGGCTGTACCATTTTGCCGTTCCGCCAGCAGTGTACGGGGGTTCCAGTTCCCCCACATCCTTGTCAACACCTGGTACGGTGTATTGTAGCTATTCTAAGAGGTCTGTCATGGTTCCTCACTGCCCTGCACGGCCCATGCTGCCAGCCCGTCCGACCTGGCCTTGACCACTCTCCCCCTTGCCCCTCCGGTCCTCACCCTCGGGGCTTCTCTCTGCCCTGGGGGCTCTGCACTTGCTGGTCCCTCTGCCTGGAGCCTTTGTTTATGGATTATTTTCCTAATCGCTGTGGGAGCCACGGGGCCCTAGTGACGCAGTGGTTAAGCACTCAGTTGCTGAACTAAAGCTCAGCAGTTCAAACCCACCAGCTGCTCTGCCAGAAAAAGATGTGGCGGTCTGCTTCCATAAAGATTACAGCCTTGGAAACCCTATGGGGCATTCTACTCTGTCCTCTAGGGTCGCTATGAGTTGGAATTGACTGGATGGCAACGGGTTTTTTGGTGGGAGCCACTGAAGAGTTTTGAGCAGGGGAGTGTTATGATCTGAGTCAGGTTTTAAATGTCATCCTGGCTGTTTGTTGAGGATGAACTGTGACCATGGTCTGAGGGAGTTGGATGAGATGACAGCTGTAAGGCACTCCGAGCCTGGTACACAGCAGGGGCTCAAAACCCATCGCCTGTTATCAGTCACTGTGCTAGCCAGCCCTTGGTCCCTCTTGTTTGTTTGTTTTTTCAGTTGAAAAAATTTATTTAGTCTTTTCCCCAGGTACATAGATGACCTGATTATAGACAAGTTTTGACACATAGGAAAACCCTTCTGTCCACCTTTGTTTGCTAAATGAATCATCACAATCATTTGTACAGTTTTTAAAACAATACACAGCTTTCTTGGGCTGAACAGGTCTGCCTTATTTTTAAGTGAAGTTATAGGTGTGAAAATTGCAGCTGAGCGTGGACTTGGCTTGCCCCAAGCGACCCAGCTGTCATGTCTGGGACGGAAACCCAGGGGTATACGGCAGCTTGCTGCGTTCTCCCTGAAGTCAGGGCTTCCTGCAGGGGCAGACAGGTGCAGGCACCAATAACACAACCCCACCTAGAACCTTCCATGCCACAGCAGGAGCGCCCCCATGGTCTGGGAGCACCAGGAGTGGGGCTTCTCCCAGTGTGGGATCGTCTGGGAGGATTCCCAGTAATGTGCGATCTGGGGGAGAGATTGCCACGGTAGGGCTGGGGGGCGGCGGGCACAGCACGGAGGAGGGGAATGCGTTGTCCCAGCACCCAGCGGGGAGGAATGCCAGCCGAGAGGAGGCTGACCACCAGGGGGCGCCCTTGGACTCGGTTCGCTCTGCATGGCTGAGCTGTCCTCAGGCCCTGGGTGTTGAACGGGGCTTTGGAGAAGGCGTCTCCACTCCTGGCTGCCTTGTCCTCCTTGGCCAACATTTGCGGACAGATGGACCCAGTGTTAATCCTGTCCTGGCACCTGTTCCGTGAGTGACCTTGGGCCAGCGATTGGCCATCTCGTGCCTCGATTTCCTCACTGTGAGAGGCAGAGAGCCCGTGTGGCTCAAGCCCCGAACCTGGCTGTCACTTCCCCCGGCCCCTTCCATTCAAACTCACATCCATCAAAAGGGGGCTGTGCCCCCGTGTGCCAGCGCTGGATCCTGCCACAGGAGCAAATCTTCCGGAAGAAGGTGGCCCGGAGGTCGCCTCTGCCAGCAGCCGTCCCGACCTTACAGGGTGGATCAGGTGCTTCCTCTGTGTGCCCACCTACTCACTGTGGGTGCGGGGGCCTCGCCCACCACTCTGTGGGCACCTGGAGGGCTGGGACACGCCCATTTATCTCTGAATCCCCAACACCCAGCAAGGGGTTTGACAAACAATGGGAGCTTAATAAATGCCTGATGGACTGATGCTGAATCGGATTTTCCTGTGGGTGGGGGGCGGAGCCGTCCGGCTCACTCCCAGGCTGGTGGCCCCCAAGGCGGTGAGATGCCCAGGCTCAGCCCTTCGGCCCCCAGATTCGGATACGGCTGTGACGAGGGCCCCCCTGCAATCGGCTCTGCCCTGGGCATTCTTGAGACCACTCTTCTGCTTGGCCGGAATCAGTTAGTGGGTCTGCCCCGGCCCTGAATGCCAAGAGGAGGAACTAGGCTGCAATCCAGGTGGGGGCTTCCAGCAGGCAAAGGTGCGGTCAGGTTTGTGTTTTAAGGGGCCCCTGACTGCAGGGTGGATGGCTGGGCCGGCCCAGGGAGAGAGCAGGAGGCAGGAGGAACAGCCACCTCACAAGAATATTTAGGATGGTTGCCTGGACTCAAGGGCGAAGCACAGGTTTCCAGCTCAGGTGACTGATGCTGTTAGGTAACGGGGCTGATCACATTCCGGAGCCCATGCCGAGCGCTGTCTTGGATGCCGTGACTTTGGGGCCTCTGTGCCTCACCAGGAGAGCCATCCAGAACTACGGTTGGAAATAGGAACCCCAAGGAGGGAGGGCAGAGGGTGTGACCAATTCTCTCAGGGACTAAGGAATTTGGAGCCCTTGGCTAGGACAGAGGGACAGCAGGCCTTGTGACATCCCCACCTCATTCCTTAGCTGTCGGGGTGCCAGACAGAGGCCCGGGAGGGACATGGCACCCCCAGTGTGTGGGGACACCTCAGGGCCATGGCTCACACGGGTTCAGGGCTCTGGCTTCCGCGGGTGAGAGCCGACCTGCCGGGGTAGGAGCCTGCCCTCGACGGGCCTGACCCGGCCCAGACCACGGGGTGGGGTACGCCTGGCAAAGTTGTTCTTAGGTGCCGTTGAGTCAGTTTTAACTGATGGCAATGCCACTGTGCAGAGTAGAGCTGCTCCAATGGGTTTTCAAGGCTAAGACCTTTTGGAAGCAGACTGCCAGGCCTTTCTTCCAAGGCGCCTCTGAGTGGGCTCAAGCTGCCAACCTTTCTGCTAGTAGCAGAGCACTTAATTGTTTCCACCCCGGCCCCTCCCCAACCCAAAGCCCCAAGACTCTCCACCTCAAAGCCCAGAGCTGCCTGTCCGGGCAGCAGGGGGCTTCTCAGTCTTGAGCATAACGCTGGGTGACAAGCCAGAGGCCAGAACCAGCCCCTTCCTGGGCCACCCTCAGCACTGACACCTGTGCTTACAACACGAACACGGGGCTGGCTGCGCCATGGAGCCTGCTGGGGGGACGAGCAAAGGACAAACATGGCGATTACTGGGGACAGCATGATTCAGCGAAGACCA